GTCATTCTCAAATTGGTTCTTATTTTTATTAGGGAAAACCTTGCGGTGCCTCATACAAAGAAATATATGCCTTTGAATTCTGTTCCACTGTTTTCATGTAAGGCAGTAAGTAACAATAATTATCTGTTACTGAATCCTTATTAGAAGCCCCAATGGCACAGTAGGTTAAGTGCTGGGCTAATCCCAAGGGTAGCAGCTCAAAGCCACCAGTCACTCTGCAGGAAGTGAGGCTGCCTGGTCCCTGAGCCTCAGAAACTCTATAGAGCAGCTCCACTCTGTCCTCTAAGGGCTCTAGGAATTGGAACCACACTGCCAGCAGGAGGTTTGGTTCTGGGTATGAGCACTTACTGTGTACCAGAACCTCTTGTTGCTAGGTGCTGCTGAGCTAATTTTGACTGTGGACTCTGCACTGCCCAGAGCTGCACCATCCTCCCAACTGCTGCTAAGCTGGAGCCCACTGTTCCAGCTACCGTGTCAGTCCATCTCGTTGAGGGTCCTCCTCATTTTCACTGGACCTAGCCCCGACTCTACCAATCCACCAGCTGCCTGTATAGCACCGCTATGAGTCAGAATTCATGAGATAGTGGGGGACTTGGATCCTGGGGGAACTGGGGGGAGCTCCATATCAATACACCCACTCTTCACTTATCAGTGTGACTGGGTTTCACATGCCAGGTTGTTATGCAAACATCAGCATTGCTGACAATGGAGGACTACTAGATCACACAACAGAGGATGACTACATCATCGCATAAATGGCAAACCACAGAGAACCGTGGCCCAGCCAAGGGGACACAAGTCTGTCCCCGCAGACAGTGTGAGTGTCTCTTCACACCTCGGCTTCATATGTCATTACTGCCACATGTACAGAGTAAATGCACAACACAGTGAGAACACTGATTTTTTACTACTGCCATGAATGCAAAATGTTAGCGAACAAGATCGTTGATAAGTGAGGAGTAGGTATAGTCTGGGTTCCAGGAAAATTTTTAATTCTGTTCTAGGTTTTCCCCACTTTGATCAGAGAACAGGTTTCTTAAATGTACCTGGAATAGACTCTCTGATGTGGTGAATCAACTCCATATAAGCTTCTCTTGAATATCTGCAATAAAGAACAAAAAGGCCTAAGTCAACTAAAGTCTTTGAACTGAATGTTGTAAGAGACCGTCAAAGTCTCTGAAAGAGCTGTGTTTTTTTTAATTGGGGGCTCTTATAACAATCC